TTACTTTCTAACATAATATCTCTGTACCTCAGTTTCCTCAATTTTAAATCAGCAATAAAAACACCTACTTTAAAAAATAATAAATAATTTTCAATTGTTAAAAATGCCTATTTTGCAGAAATGTTGTAGGAGTAAAATAACCTACACACCTTACATACCTCCTGCATTATAATATGTTTTCAGACATTTAGTAGACATTAATTTATTTGAAATGAAAAAATTCTTAACCTTTTTTGGGAAATGAACACCTTTGAAACTTTAAGAATAGTTATGGTAACTCACCCTGACAAAATGCCTGCATGTGTGATATCATTTTTCATACAATTCAGTGGAAGTGGGGGTGGGTGGTGCGCGGACCATCTGAAGGCCATCCAGGAACCACCAGATTAAGAATCTTGCCCAAAAATAGTCACTTTACAGGGCAGGCCCAGCGTACTCTCAAAACTCAACTTGTCACCTGTATTACAATCATCATATGTAACCTGACAAGCTGATGCTATTAGAATATGGGAGCATCTAGAAAAACTTTTGAGCAGATTAAAGATCTGATCCTTCTTTTACTACTGATATAGAAAGAGAATGGATAAGACAGGAAAAAAAGAAGAAACACATATTAAGGGCCTACTATGTGCCACATGCCACAATCAGCACTATCTGGGCATCATCTCATTTCAATTCTGATAACAACTGGATGAAATAAAGATTGCAATCCTAATATTAATGAGGGAGAAACTGAGGTTCAGAGATTAAAAAACATGACTAAAGTATCCCTCCCTAACCTCCCTACATCTATTTTTTTGAAATGTCATTGATTAGAAGGCTGTAACTCTATAGTGAGATTTTGTTTTAACCTCAGGGAAATGCTTTCTCACTCTTGTAAGAGTTGGTAAGTGACTACCACTACTCAGCTGTGCAAAAAAAGAGTTTTCTCAATACCATACAACTCAAACAAAAATACCAAAATATTTAGAGGGTAAGCTGTTTTAAGGCTGTAACTCTTATCCATAACTCCCGATTTCAAGTTGTGTTTTACCAAAGTAGGCTCATTGTTTTCAATGATGGGTTTTAAAATAAGTATTATCAAAGGAACTTAGGAAATAAATACATATTGTTAAGAAATGAAATTTTAAAAAGTCACTTTAAACTGTTGTTTTATGACCTATCTAAAGTCAAATACAAATGGTGATTTTAGTATATGAATCCACATATCCTGAGTCCAAGTCCAGTCTTCTATATCTTTGTTTCTCACTATGCTTCAAGATTTATAAATCTTGATAAGATTTGTAAAATTGGTAAGATTTATAAGTCTTGATGTATTTAGCATGTTTTCTTCCTGATACTTCAGAAAAATAGCATTCTATGGCTGTTTAAAATCATTAGAAAAATTGTCAATATCCACTAGCTGAAGATATAACCTCAATATACAGTTGGCAATAAAACAATTTTTAAAAAACTTCAAGAGCATAAAAGTAAGGTTACCTCTAGTACATCAGAAGTAATAAGTTTCGTTACACGATCATTTGGATCCTTAAATTCTTCTGTAACTTCAGGGCGCTGAATTTTTTTCTTCATTCTATATGACAGCTATATGATAATGAATATCATTTATAATAGATATCTTTTAAAGGACATTTTCAAGGTGGTGAAATACAAGCCAGCTATAAAAATTGCCTATCAGTAAAAATGGATGAAACAAAAGCAGCTCTAAATGTGTGTTTATTAAATATCCGTTTTCCAAAGACTATTAGATTTCTGAACTATCCCTTTAGATGCCATGCCACGTGCTTACAAATTGAGATGGGATTCGGAAAAGTTAATTTGCCAGCTAATGGCAGAACTGGAACTAGTGCTCTTCCAACCTAGTGTCTCAACTGTCACAAGACTGAAGAGATAACATATTTTATTAAAAGTTTGAACTTTTCACCAACTGATTTATAAAAATTCCTTGGTCCTCTTTCAACAACCTCTCTGATGTTCAAATAATGGCATGAGCAAATGCAGATGCCAAATCTACTTTCCCCTCATAACAATTCGCTTAATAAGAAACACAATTTGCATCCAGAAACACACTGCATTTGAAAGCAGAGGCTAAATTTTTGTTTGCAGAAAAAAGCAACCAGAAAGCATTTTCTACTCCTATTTTAAAAAGGGTACAAGTCTTGAACACTATTAATATTCTTTCCATTTTCTGGAGATTAAGGTGCTTTATGGGCAATAAAGTGTAACTACATTTTGAAAAAACAAATGATCTTAGGCAACATACCAATTTGGGCATTGCTGTAAAGTGAAATGCTCTGTCTAGTCGTAGCTTCCTAAAGATATAAGCTGCATCAAAATGTTGTGCATCTATCAAATCTTGCTGAAATTTTAAAACTTCATCCCAGTCCTTCAGAGCAACTCTGATCTGCAAACAGAAAGAGTAAAAAAGATGTATTAAATGTAAATCTCTTTTCACAAATGTATTGTAATTTTAAAACACTGGCATTCCTAGTTAAATCAGTTTATTGTAAAAATATGTTACCTGTTTCACATTTCTGCTGGGGGGAAAACAACTCATCAAGTATTACCTTTTGTTTTGGTTGACACAGTTGGGTGTTATATAATCCATATAGCAGATACAAAGCACCAACTCTGATCTGGAAGGTGTATGGAGGTAAAAAATATCGCCAAGCCAAAGCTAAAGCTTCTTTTGTAAAGACGTTCTTTTCTAAATTTCTCATTTTACCACTAGAAAACAAAGAGAAAATATATGACTCATTAAACAAATAAGTAATGAACAAAAGCCAGAGAGGTATGCAGTCATCTCTCAATATCCGCAGGTGATTGGTTCCAGGACCCCCAGATATCAAAATGTACAGATGCTCAAATCCCTTATATAAAATGGCGTAGTATTTGCATATAATCTATACACATTCTCCTGTATAGTTTAAATCATCTCTACATTAATTATAATACCTAGTACAATGTAAATGCTACATACATAGTT